CCGCCCCCCCCCCAAGAATTTTTGGCCGGCGCCTTTTTAAATTTTCGGGAGCAAAAAAAAAAAAAATTGTGCTCTGTACCCCCCCCCCCCCCCCCCCCCCCCCCCCCCCCCCCCCCCCCCCCCCCCCCCCCCCCCCCCCCCACTGAGCGACTTTTCGGCCGGCGCGATTTTCAAATTTTCGGGAGCAAAAAAAAAAAAAGTTGGGCCCCCTCCCCTAAGAAATCCTGGATCCGCGCCTGCAACCAATCGTCTGCTTTCTCTAATGATTTAATGAAACGTAAAAGCTTCCGCGCTTCGCGCGGAAGGGGCGGGGGGGGGGGGGTGGAAACTAAATTTAGACAAGGATTGAGAGTCGAGAACGGTACAACACAATCGTCTTCTTTCTCTAATGATTTAATGATACGTAAAAGCTTCCGCTCTTCGCGTAGAGGGGGAGGAACTGAATTTTAGACAAGGGTTAATATTCGAGAACGGTACAACAAATCGTCTTCTTTCTCTAATGATTTAATGAAACGGAAAAGCTTCCGCGCTTCAAGCAGGAGGGGGGGGGGGGGTGACAGCATTTAGACAAGGATTAAGATTCGAGAACGGTACAACGAAATCGTCTTCTTTCTCTAATGATTTAATGTAACGTAAAAGCTCCCGCGCTTCGCGCAGGAGGGGGAGGGGAGGGACTGAATTTAAACAAGGATTAAGAGTCGTGAACGGAACAACAAAGCGTCTTCTTAATCTAATGATTTTATGAAACGTAAAAGCTTTTGCACTTTGCGCAGGCGGGGGGGGGGGGGGACTGAATTTAGACAAGGATTAAGAGTCTAGAACGGCCGTTCAACAAAATCGTCTTCTTTTTCTAATGATTTAATGAAACGTAAAAGCTTCCGCTCTTCGCGCAGGAGGGGGGGGGGGGAACTGAATTTAGACAAGAATTTAAGAGTCGAGAACGTACAGCGAATAGTCTTCTTTCTCTAATTAATGAAACGTAAAAGCTTCCGCGCTTCGCGCAGGAGGGGGGGGGAAATGAATTTTAGACAAGGATTAGGAGTCGAGAACGTACAGCGAATCGTCTACTTTCTCTAATGATTTAATGAAACGTAAAAGCTTCCGCGCTTTGCACTGGAGGGGGGGGGGGATGAATTTAGACAAGGATTAAGATTCGAGAACGGTACAACAAAATCGTCTTCTTTCTCTAATGATTTAATGAAACGTAAAAGCTTCCGCGCTTCGCATGTACCCCCTAAACTTCGGAATAATTTCTCAGGAGTCCAAAGAGATGAGAGAAAGAAAAGAGAAAAAAAAACATTTTAAGAAATCTCTGGGTGAAAAGTTAATACACCTTTTTTTTTTACAATTCTCGGGCCGGACTTTGTCGCACGAACAGTACCCCTTTACCGGTAACACGCATGGGGTCCGTCCGTTCTCGGAGTGGGGGGGGGGGGGGGGATGAAACGTAAAAGCTTTTGCGCTTCGCGCACGTGGGGGGGGGGAGGGAACTGAATTTAGACAAGGATTAAGAGTCGAGAACGGCCGTTCAACAAAATCGTCTTCTTTCTCTAATGATTTAATGATACGTTAAAGCTTCCGCGCTTCGCGAGTGAGGGGTGAAACTGAATTCAGACGGTGATTAAGAGTCGAGAATGGTACAACAAATCGTCTTCTTTCTCTAATGATTTAACGAAACGTAAAAGCTTCTGCGCTTCGCGCGGGACGGGTGAAACTGAATTCAGACGAGGATTATGAGACGAGAACAGTACAACGAATCGTCTTCTTTATCTAATAATTTAATGAAACGTCAAAGCTTCCGCGCTTTGCGCGGGAGGGGGAAATCTGGCCCCCTAAGAAATCCTGGATCTGCGCCTGTTTGGAACTCGGCAAGTACCCCCTTCCCCTTTTAATAACAACCCCTTTTTAACTCGGATAAGCGCACATATTCACAAGTGCCCCTTTTCCTAATGATAAGTGTCCCATTAAAAAAAGCCCCTTCCTCTTCTCATAAGTGCCCCTTCTCTGGTAAATGACCCTTTTCAGGTACAAGAAGTTACCCCTTTTCACTTCAGATAAATGCCCCCTTCACCTCAAATAAATGCCCCTATTAAGATCGGTGTCTCTTTTCTTTCAACTAATGCACATTTTATCTCAATATAAGTGCCCCTTTTTCATTCTCAAAAGGACCCTTTTCCTTTCTAATAAGCAACTTATCCCCTTGTTATAAATGCCCCTTTTCACCTCTTATAAATGCCCCTATCAAAATCTGATGGGGGCCCCTTTTTCGTCGACAAATGCCCATCTCCTATTTTCATAAGTGCCCTTTTTCAGTTCTGGTGAGTCCCTCTTGTGTAAGAATCTGAAGTGCCCTATTTTCACCTCTGATAATTACTCTTTGTACTTTGACACATGCTCCTTTTTTATGATATAAGGTGTCCCCTTTTCCTCTCTTCAATCATTAAACGCGCCCCTAATTTCAAGCGACTAAAAGCAATTTCCCCCAAAGCTCGCTCGCTTGCATTTATAGATGATATACTTATGTAATTAGTTATCAAAGGTCTTTTCAGTCTTCCGTTATGAGAATCAATATTTTGCCTTTAATTTCAATAAATAATGAAACACACACTGGGTCTTTGCATGCCCAAACGAAACCCATTTACGAATTACTGTTAGTTGTTTATTGGATAAAAAAAAGACTGTTGATTAGCTTGATTTCAGAATGACAGATCGATAAGTTAGTTTACCTTTGGATATTTACAAAGTTGATCAAGAGGTCTTTTAATACCTTCGAAACAGATGATAAAAATACAATAAATCATGTGATAAATCGTGCAGTCCATAAATAAACAAAATTATGCAATAGCTTATTTGTAAACGAAAAAAATATCTGTGTGATCTTGTATTATTTGCATCATTGGCGTGTGATTGTTTACATGCAGAAAATTATACCCCAGTAACCCCAACATACATTAAAAGGTCAAGAGCGTGGTAACGGTGGAGCAAACATAGGACTATAAAAGAAAATCTCCTAGAGTCCTAAGATTTGTGGAGTACACAGGTTGGCGGGCCGTGTGTGTGTGTGTGCGAGTGTGTGGTGGGAGTATTCCTCAATCAGTCCATATGTCAAATGCCTTGGCATTCACACACATCTATACGTTAAAAAATGAAGTTAAAAAGATCTGGAGAAATTACAACAGAATTTATGTATTTTTTTGAGGGGGAAAGGGAAATATCTTTATAGGCTGAAAGGTTAAAGTCACAAAAGGTTATGAAGAAAATTAAAAAAGTGAGTCAAAATCCCTTTTTACACCAGAAATTGCCCACAATTTATTGTTTATTGAAATGGCACATGTACAGTGTATACAGTGTACAGTGTACAGGGGGGGGTAGTGAGCACTTTTTTTTTTTTTGCTCCCGAAAATTTGAAAATCGCGCCGGCCGAAAAGTCGTTCAGTTGGGGGAGGGGGGCAGAGCCCCGGAAACTTAGGGGTTTTAGGCATTTAATTACGGTCAGATTAACATATTTTGATACCTTGTGACACTGCAGGTCCCGAATCGGCGTAAGGTCCAGGGGGTGGGATGGGGGGGGGGGGGCGGAGGCTCAGGGATGTTAGGCAATAGATTACGGTCAGATGAGCATCCATGGGCCCGCCTTAGGGCCATTGGTTGGGTTCAGGGGGCAAAGCCATAGAAGCTCAGGTCTTAAGACATTTAAATACGTCAGATGAGCATAATGATACCTTATTTTGTGACACTGGCAGTTCACTAATTGGCATGGGGTCCAGGGGGCAGAGCACCCAGAAGCTCAGGGGTTTTAGGCATTTTATAACGGTCTGACAAGCATGCAGGGGCCCGCCTTAGGGCCCCTGGTGGGGCCGAAGGGCGGAGCCCCGGAAACTCAGGGCTTTAGGCATTTAAATACGTCAGATGATCATAATGATACCTTATTTGTGACACTGGCAGTTCACTAATTGGCATGGGGTCCAGGGGGCAGAGATCCCAAAAGCTCAGGGGTTTTAGGCATTTTATAAGGGTCAGACAAGCATCCAGGGGCCAACCTTAGGGCCATTGATTGGGTTCAGGGGGCAGAGCCCCGGAAGCTCAGGGCTTTAGGCATTTAAATACGTCAGGTAAGCATAAAGATACCTTATGTGTGACACTGGCAGTTCACTAATACATTTAGGCGCGGATCCAGGATTTCTCAGGGGAGGGGGCCCAATTTTTTTGGGCTCTCGAAAATTTGAAAATTTGCACCCCCCCCCCCCCGTGAGCGCCAGGGGGGAGGGGCCATCCCCCCAAAAGCTAAAAATCACCTGTTTTTACATGGTTTTTTTCCCCAGGGGGTGGGGGGCCGGGCCCCCCCCCTTCCCTGGATCCGCCGCTGAATACATTGGCATTGGGTCCAGGGGGCAGAGCACCCAGAAGCTCAGGGGTTTTAGGCATTTTATAACGGTTAGACAAACATGCAGGGGTCCGCCTTAGGGCCCTAGGTGGGGTCCAGTGGGCAGAGCCACCGGAAGTCATTTTTTTTTTTTTTTTTGCCCCGGATATTGGGAAATTACGTCGTCAGATATTTCGTTTAGTGGCTGGGGGGGGGGGGGGGGAGGAACACTTTGTTTTTGCCTTCATTTTTTTGCCGGGGGGAGGGGGCGGCCCTCCCCCCCCCCCCTGGCAGTACGTGTGACGTCCTTTTAAAGGCCGACTGTACTTAGACCATGCACCCAGGGTGGTCACTGACAGGTGGTTATCTCATCAACTCAGCTCTCAATTAATATAAGAAAAAGAGGATCATGGGGGACCAATGCATGGTCACCGATTAGGCATTGTTTCTATATAGAGAGAGCAAGTAGCTACAAGTAGTACAGTCCACTATACGTCCAAATCTAAAAAAAAAAAAAAAAAGGAAATCAGCGCATGCGCACATGGATGCTGTCATGAAGCCTTAAAATCGATCCGATCGATCCGATCCAGTCAGTACGCCGCTGCACTAAAACCGCCCGTATTTATCATTGTCGTATGCAAGCCAAGCGGTCAATATGAAGACACCGACTTGTTTCCTCCTACACAAAATGGATCCATTTTAAGGGTGTACGGTCTTAGCGACGTGCGCGCCTGCTCACACAAAAAAATACATTATAGTGATACGAGAATATAAACAAAATAGAAAAAGAGCGACACGAGAGAGAGAGAGCCGTCACATCTAGTCTCGTGAAAATGACTACAGTAGTGAGTATATATTATTACATAGGCTCAAACTATTTGGTATGTTCAGTAGTTCGTGGGCAGAATTCTTGTCAGTAAATTTGTTTGGTTTTTAGCAGTGCTATTAATCATCGTTAGCGTGAAATAAGACATTTAGAATGTTATTTTTGTTTAATAATAATACACGCGTTGTTTTCCTATTCATGAAGAATTACTGTCTGCGTATGTTGTATGTAAAGAGTGTATTTATGTTGGATATGTAGATCATCCAAGTTTCTTGTCACACATGTCTCCTTATAAATCATTTAAGTATGTAAAATGAGGAATGATTGAAAGTGAAGCTGCATGCTTGAATTCTTTAGAAGCACTGTTCTGGATTGATTTTAAATAGCATTTCTTTACCACTACCTTTTCCCTGCTAAGTCTCAGTCACCTGTATGGCAATAGTATGACCTTTTATAGGCACACTATAGCGAAAAGCATCTGGGTTGCTGATAATCTTAGGCTTCATTTATATAATGATAATAATAATAATAATAATAATACTCAGTTCTTTATAGCACATAACACATTACAGGATAGCATGTATATCTCAATTTCACTCAGGACTTCTCTCTGCAATCATAACTTGCAATGGTTGCTGTTGCGTTTGTTGATTTACAGGTTCTGTGCTAAACAAAATAATGTCGGTTATTGGAGAGAGGGAGTGAAGGGTTTTCCAAGGTTCAAGCATTTTTTTGATGGATTAGTGTACTATGATCCCCTTCACAGTGCGAGTCCCTTAATATTGTTGTGTTATTGGTGGTGTTTTTGTTCTGGTTATTCAAGTACATTAATGAATAATTCCACAGGTAGTTCCTTAATTATCCCTTTTCCTTAACAAACTCATGTATGGTGCAAGATGACATAATTTACGTTTATTTCCATGAATTTTTGTGGCCTGGGTGAGTAGGCCTACTCGTCGGAAAAGACAGGATATTTTGTTATATTTAAAGTTTTTAAAAATGTGACGTGTGCTGCATTCAGGATACGCATTTTGTACCAGATAATTATTATAGAGATCGAAATACGAAGGGAATGGGCAGGCAAATGTTTGTTTTTTCTAAGCCCTTTTTTTATTAAGCCCTTTTAAACGGAGCAGGTAAGACTTCTTTTTGATATCTTCAGAACTTCTTTCATTAGTTTTCAAAGTGGATATTTTGCCGGGTTATCGAACGGACTTAGTCTGAGCTTAAATCAGATAAAGCGACGTACCGGTCATTGGAAATTCAATAATTTCTTGTCAAAAAACGAGGGTTTCATTTCACAATTGATTTTTATTCGAATCTCTATAAATTATGCGGCAACAGAAGTAGAAGAAACAAATGTGGAAATTTTATTGAATTATTCTGACATCCCCAAATTGTCTTCAGAAATGTCTGAATTGCTTGAAGGTCCACTGAGTATTAATGAAATTTATACTATATTAAAACATATATGGAAAACAATGAATCCCCTGGGCAAGATGGCTGTAGACTGTTACTGTTTCTTTAGGAAAGATATAAAATATTTCATAGTAAAGTCATTAAACCATGCTTATTTTAAAGGACACCTTTCACAATCGCAAAAATTGGGGACTTTTCTAAAAGGGAACAAGTCTAGAGATTTACTTAAAAACTGGCGCTTGATTTCCTTTTTTGACGTTATTTATAAACTATAGCTTCCGGTTGTTTAGGTAATAATATTATGTCTCCTTTTATGCACGAAAATCAAAAGGGATTTCTAAAACGTTGTTTTATTGGGGAAAATAAATGTTTATTATGATTACGCCATATTACATAACACTGATATAACGAATATAGCTGGCATGTTACTCGTTATTGATTTCGAAAAGGCATTCGACTCTGTGTCTCATACATTCCTCTATAAAGTTTTGGATTTCTTTCAATTTGGTCCATCTTTTTACAAATAGATTAGGCCTACATAGTTTATGAAAATACTTCTTCGTGTGTCCTACTACACAGCACTGTACAGATTAATTTTTCTTCTCAGGGTGACCCTTGGTCGCCGTACCTGTTTTTTGCTGGTGAATAAAATACTTGGTATCCTGATGCGTAGTGCACCTTCCCCTTTTCATAATGACTCATTTACACCTCCGATAAAGACCCCCATTAAAATCTGATCGATGCCCCTTTTCTTTTAACTAACTAATTTTCCTTTACGTCGATGGTTCGTTATTATCGCGTGAATTGTACCTGGAATTTTATTTGCATAGAAACTGGAAGTAGCAACTAATCCATCTCGTTAAGCGTCTTTTTGAACATGTTCAGTCGATGGTTAATTAGTTGGGAGACATTATTATCGCGTGTATTGTACCTGGAATTTTAATTGCATAGAAAGTGGAAGTAGCAACTAATCCATCTCGTTAAGCGTCTTACTGTACATGGAACGCTGAACGCTTCGCTGAAACTTCTTTATGTTGGAAGCACTAGACTGGCCATGCATCGGGTTGCGTTGGGGTTTGTTTTCTCTACACTTTGTTTAAAGTTAAGCCATCGTATTAAACTCTTTCTTTAGTATGACTTTCCGTTATATATATTGTTAAATCATTGTTGGTACCAGCTTATTCCAATACAATTACATTTTGTTGGCAATCCACTTTATCCCTCAGGACTATAATATTATGTTAAATAATTGTCTCTCACTGCCTCACGGTTGTATTGGGAGCATGTGATTGTATTCGATGAAGACTTGCAGAGCAATTCCTGGCCTATAAATATCTTTTCTACGCCCAGCTTTAAACCTTAATTCTCTTCGGTTGCTTAATTAATCAATTGTGCGTTATGATTAATGTTGGTTAAACTTCATGCGTCTTGTTGTGGTGTGCACAGTACAAGCTTCTTATAGACGTATCTTACATAATTAAGTTTTGTTTAGTAGTATTTTAGTGTATTTTTTATACTTTAAAAAAAAAAAACTTTTGTTTTTTGTTTTCGTTTTGTTGTTGTTGAAATGGTACAACAATTTACATGCATTCGCTGTAGTAAATGTGTTAAAGCAAATCAGAAAGCACTTCTCTGTACTTCTTGCCGAAACTGGGTACACATATCATGTTCAGAAATCTCTGTAAAGAGTTACGATGACCCTAATGAGCATTTTGTAAATTGGGAGTGTTCAAGATGTCTTTTAAACCATCTTCCAAATTATATTGTGAATAATTCAGAGTCCGACGTCGACGATTCTAATAACATAGATCCCTCATGTAAATCTGGTGAGAACATATCTTTAAAATAATTATGATCATAGTAAAGGGATTAAATTTGTCCACCGGAATATTGTAAGTCTTTTGAAATATCATGAAGAAATCAAGCAAATCATGTTTGAAAATGAAATACAAGTTCTTGCTCTGAATGAGACTAGATTAGACAGCTCTATTGCAGACAGTGAAATGTACATACCCCATTACTCATTACTTCGAAAAGATAGGGATAGAAATGGGGGTGGAGTGGCCATAGGGTTAGGTGGTCCATGCATGAGTCTATTCATATCAACTTAGATAGTCAGGATTCTCTTGAACGTTTAGAAGCATTGTGCATAAAAGTTTGTTTGAAGAACACGAAGCCAATTATTTTTTTAGACTGGTATAGACCACCAAATTCAAAAGTCGAGGTTTTTAATCACTATGAGGACTTTTTGGTTTTTGCAAATGGTCTCAATGGACAACTCATTATTATGGGTGACATTAACTGTGATATCACGAAAAAACCTTTTGAAGGAAATACGAAAGTCTATAATCAAATAAATGATATATATTGTTTGAAACAGGTAAATGATACATTGTATACAAGAGTAACCGATAGATCCTGCACACTTGTTGACCATAATTATCCCGACAAGGTGAAATCGTTTGGTGTTATTCAAAATGGTATGAGTGACCATTATATCAGTTACTTGGTGTGGAAATGTAAACATATTCCCAAAGTGAAACATTTGTATCGTTCAGAAAGTCGAGAAATGTAGATTTAGAAGCTTTCAGGTCTGATTTGCGTTATCAAAACTGGAAGAAAGTAAAAGAGTTTAGTGATATAAATGATGCAGTTAGTGAATGGGAAAAGTTGCTGTTAGAAGTAGTTAACAAGCATATGCCATTAAAGACAAGACGAGTGAGAAAAAATCCTCCCCATGGATGAACAGTGAAATACTTACTTTAATGAAACAGAGAGATAAAGCAAAACTGAAAGCCAAAAAGAGAAACAGTGATGACTTATGGAAACTCTATAAACGCATGAAAAATAAAGTTACCACCGAGATAAGAAAATCCAAACGTAAACACATATGTGATAAACTATCTGAAGTCACCAATAGAAATGAATCTTGGACAACACTCAAAAGTTTAATGGGTAATTGTAATTCTTCTAACAGCACTTTTCCGAAAGAAAATTCAAGTGTAATAGCGAATGAGTTTAATAACCACTTTGCAGATATAGCGACAAATGTATGCACAAATAACACAAGGGCTAATAACCGGCTTTATTCCCATGGTGAAAAGGTTTCTGACAGAAAATTTAAATGTGTTAATGTATCTCAATCTTATGTCTTGCAACAAGTAATGTCAATGAAAACAAAAAAGTCCGTCGGGTTAGACGAAATTTCTATGTATATTCTTAAAGAGTCAATATCTGAAATGATTGAATCTTTTACCTTTTTAATCAACAAATCTTTATCGGAATGGGTTTTGCCTGACAAATGGAAAGTCGCAAAAGTAATACCGATACACAAAAAAGGAAATAAACTTGATTTCAATAATTATAGGCCGCCTTGCGCCTCTAAAGTTATGGAAAGAGTCGTTCAGCGACAATTGCTTGATTATTTAAAGTGTCATTCCTTGCTCTCCCAAAATCAGTCAGGTTTTCGTCCAAAACACTCCACTGTGACAGCACTAGCCGCAGTCACAGATGATTGGTTTTACTCTATCGATAAAGGTAATTACATTGGAACAATTTTTGTAGACTTGCAAAAATGATTTGATATGGTTGATCACCTAATCCTTGTATATAAACTTGAATATATGGGTGTAATTGGTGTAGAATTACAGTGGTTCAAACACTATTTATCAAACAGAAGAATAAGAACTTCGGTAAATAATGTCCTTTCTGATGAAAGATTAACTACGAAAGGTGTGCCGCAAGGTTCTTTACTGGGGCCCCTGTTGTTCATTATTTTTATAAATGACATCAATTCTGCTTTCAACACCTGCAAGGTCCATCTTTATGCAGATGATACGGTCATTTATACGGTCACTGTTTGCATGTTACTAGGAACACATAACATGCTTAAAAAACAACCGCTTTTGAATATCAAAATCAAAGAACAACAGTTGTCCCAAGTAAAGAGCGTTAAATATCTCGGTGTACATGTGGATGAAAAATTAAAATGGGATGTTCACATTAAACAGACGTGTAACAAACTAAGTAAAATGGTTAGTTATTTATGTAGACTAAGACAATTTGTGAATAATTATGTCTGAATTGAAATTAATCTATAATTCCATCATATTACCTCACTTTGATTACGGGGATGTAGTATGGCAATCTGCCTGCAGTAAAAGTTTAATACAACTCCAAAAAATTCAAAATAGGGCCGGTAGAATCATACTAAAAGTTAACCCTTATTCGCATACTTCTACCAGTCAAATTCATAGCTGTCTTGGTTGGCAAATGATACGTGAAAGGCAACAAATCCATTTATTACTCCTATAACTTACAAAACATTACATAACATGACCCCTGAATATTTGAAAGACATGTTTGAGTTTAAATCCTCTCCATACTCCCTCCGTAATGCACATAACCTTCTTTACCTAAGCCAAGAACTAATTATTGTAAAAGAACTTTTGTGTACAGAGCTTCTTTTCAATATAATAAATTATCCCCTGATTTGCGTCAACTACCCACTTTTGCCACCTTAAGACTAACCTAAACAGACTATAATCACCTTGTTGTTGTACCTCTTTATGTATGTTGATATGATGTTTGTTTGTTTGTTTGTTTGTTTGTTGTTTGTTTGTTTTTCTTTTCCTTTAAGTATTTGTATTATGTTTTCGACTGATACTTTGTAATTATTTATTTTGTTAATTTGTAATATTATGTATATTTTGCATATTGTAAACTGGCCCCATGGAAGACCAGCAGCAACAATTATAGTTGCAGCTGAATATGGGCTACCAGCCGTATACGGTCCTTTTTTTTCTCTGTATGATTATTTTATATGTATTTGTATCTGATTTTATTATACGGAAATAAAAACAACAACAACAACTTTAGGTGCCCCTTTTCATATCTGATCAGTTCCTATTTCATGTGCGATCAGGGCCCTTTTCACCTCTGATAATTGCTTTTTTAACAATGATTCTTGCCCCTTTTCCTCTAGAATAAGGGACCTATCCCTTTAAAAAAATGTCCCTTTCCACCTTTTATAAATGCTCCTATCAAAATCTGATGGGTGCCCCTTTTCCGACGAAAAATTCCCATTTCCCATTGCCTTTTTTCAATCCTGATGACTGCCTCTTTTTGTGTTTCAAAGTTCCCCAATTTTCACCTCTGATAATTACCCTATATACTTTGACAAGTCCTCCTTTTCTTTTCTAATCTAATAAGTGTCTTATCCCTTTCGATAAGTGTCCCCTTTTCCTCTCATTATTAAACTACGTCCCTAATTTCAAGTGACTTAGAGCAATTTTCCCCAAAGCTCGCTCGCTACCCTCTCTTGCATTTATAGATGATATAATTATGTTACTTATCAAGGGTCTTTTCAGTCTTCCTTTACGAGAGTGTGCTTATAACCCCATCAGGATTGTTTTTTCTCCTTATAAGATGTATCTTTCGCACTGTGATCTTTATTTTTTCACCCCATCACACCCAACTGCAAAAGTATGATGCTTAAGCAATATATTGTATGGTATATAAACAGAAACAAATATTGAAATCATCCCTGATAATGTAATAACAATATAGGGGTATATACCAATGTCTAAAAAAAAAAGTATTTTCGGTTTGAGATATACCTTTGTATGTGCTCCTTTTTTAATACAGAAAGTGCCCTTTTTTGTTGGTCCCCCCCCCACTCTGGAAGTCGATCCGCCGCCCCTGCCTGAAGCATTACAAGTCGGTCTTAATTATGTGAAAGAACGTAACAGCCTCACCAAATGACAACAGGGTTTAGATCTTTAAGATAAAGCATGGTGTTCGTATTGTCTGATTCCCTATCTGTCAACTGTTGATATAAATATGAGGTGGTTCCGGTTTTAGATATTCGACAGAATATTTTAAATGAAAGATTCATTGCTGAAATTCCAAATAGTTGCTGACAAATATTGTACATTTTGTAACAGCAGTGAAGTGACAATTAATGCATATTTTTTGTTACTGCCGGTATTCAAATACAAAATGATAAAAACGTTGGGCAATGATTTTTCAGTAAGATCAATATTAAGGCAAAACTCACAAGCCAAAATAAATTGTTTGGCTTGAAAGGAGGTCACAACAAGATAAGAAATATATTCAGCCAAATGCAGAACTCAGATACCACTGTTTGAAAAAAAAAGTTATTTCAGCTGTTAAAACGTATTATGATATAATATTATGGAAAGATTCATAGCAAAAACAAATCTTAAAGAAAATGATTTCCTGGAAAAATTGTTTCATTTTACCACATGTTTCTGAGTGTCTATGTTTAGTTTGCTTGTTTGTTTTTATGTTATATAGAATTGGTGCAAAAATTGTTCTTTATCAAGTTAAATATGATGATGATTGATGATTTACAGCATTTGTATGCCACCATATATCTGTTTAAAAAACATTCAAAGGCGCGAGCTCCTCCAATAAAGTTGGCGTTTAAATGTTTGAAGGAAGATGTGAGTTTTGAGTGAAGCTTTGAAGTGGTCCATATCTTATATGTAGCTGTGCGGCCGAGGTTATTTTGTAATATTGTCATATTTTATATGACAAGTCATTGAATAGTTCATGTATCGATATGTTATGAAAATGATTATGTTGATAATTCATAAAGAAACATTGTGGAAGGTTATATAGAAAAGAAAAATAATCATTAGCGTAAAAATATGAAATATTGACTTTTATTTTTTCTTCACACGCGATGGTTTCCTATGCATGAATTTGAATTACTTTCTTTGCCTACCAAACTTACCATCCATCTTTTAGAGACATGATCATTTAGATAATAAGTGCGTTGACCGTAGAATTATATGGCATGTATTCTTACACGTCAGTGAAATATACATTCCATAAAAATGTAAACTTGTGGTGAAAATATACAAACTGTTAAAGTTGAATTTTAGCTACGTTCTTTATCATCTAAAACCATTCCCACGTCTCTTTCTTTCTCTCTCCCTCTCCCTCTCTCTCTCTCTCTCTCTCTCCCTCTCTCTCTCTCTCTCTCTCTATGTGTGTGTGTGTAAGGGTATTATCATTATCACTAAACAGTATGGTAGAACAACGGGTACAAAATCGCAATGTCCAATGCGTATGTCAAAATTGAAGCAGACACTATGTCACCCAACTTTCATCATTGTATCCCCCTGTCATAACAGCTCAAAATGAGGAATATTGTCACTTTGGTGATCATATTCTGCGTGGTATTAATTTTGGTATACCTTGAATTCAGAGATGAATCATCGAGAGCGATTCCGCACCAAGCAAACAACCAGGAGTATACCAAGGGCGTATGGGAAGAACATGAACCACAGGACCAGGGGCGTGATACACTGGTTCGAATTTCTCCTATTGCTGACTCAGACATGTCAGAAAAGTTGAGTGAGGAAGACCATGATGAGAGAGGAATGGATGCACATCCCTCACCCAAAATCCAAACGCCATTGTTACGCCATATTCCTTCTGGTGTCATCAGCATGGCACCTGATGTGAGTATAATTTATTTATCCATTCACTATATTTATTTATGGCAAATGTGTTGTACAAAACTGTTTATAAAGTTTGGATTTTAATCGTGTCTCCAACTCCCCTCCGTACAACCATGGACCTACTCCAAGTGGACACTGGTCGATACCATAATGCATTCATGCACCTGACTCTGTCAAAAGTATCATAATGACATTCCAAACATGCTTCCAAGCTTTGATCTTATCACGACCGCCGCCAGTCAGCCATAAAAAACCCAAACTGTGCCTTGAAGAATCTACAAAATGCCTGCGCAAAAGAAACTGAATCTCTTAAAATCACGGAAATGCATGTGTAGTTGTGGCGTACATTATGAATATTGACGCATATGAAGTTTCCAATAGGAAATTAGAAGTAGCTTACAAGAGAAACCTGTAAATTTGGCTGAAACACAATGATTTTAAACTTATCCTATCCATTTCCAATGAATAGAAGGTAATAGGACAATAAAGAATATGTGCTTTTCAAAGTTTGGCAAGATTCATGTCCACTTCTTTAATAACCAATCTAATATCACACAAATTGTCATAATTTGGGGTTCACTGCTCCTCTAACTGGTCTTAAATCATGATACTTTTCTTTCAAGTACACGCGGGGCGGGGAACATATCCCAAGTAAAAAGGGCACGTGTAAAAGAAAGGGGGCTCTTATCCGAACGGAAAAGGGCACTCAATAGAAGGGGAGGTGCACTTCTTACAAATTCAAAGGAGAATCTGTCAAAGTCATTTTTCCTATATAATAAAAGGGCACTTAAAAAATGGGGGACTTCCCCCCCCCTCCCTGCCCCTTGGAGCGCTGCCTCTGTCCCAGAGTTAGACTATATCTATAGAAATATTGAGATAAAGCATGAGTGAGCCTTGTTCAGGACCATCTAACCCTGTCAAAAGAATACACTGTGTTACAGCAAACCTCGCTCAAATCTATCTTCACATTATAAAGTCTTCAAAGATTACCAAAGAATTATAGGCCTCAGTAATATTTATACGTACACTTTTTACTCTCCCAAATCGCAGATTTTCGAAACAGTTCCTCGTCAGTTTTTGCCGAATTACAAGAGTCCATGTTGGTTCAACAAACAGAATAAACTCTACTGCTTGCCATATTTCTATATCATTGGTATGGCTAAATGCGGTACAACAGATCTGTGGGATAAGATCACCCGACACCCACATGTCCTGGCCAGCGTCCCGAAGGAACCACATTGGTGGTCTAGACGTAGGCGTGGAATTGATACACGTAACATACCAATTCACCAAAAGGAAGGTAGGTTTCAGAACTAGGCTTACATTATTCTTCATTGGATTAATACCAATACGTCATGATTATACAAGGAACTATTGCACATGATAATGTACTGTCATATCCACGACTTCATTCAATAAAGCCTTCGTCAGACTAAGCATCATTGTTTCCATGCACCCCCGCCCCTCCCCCCGCTTTTATTACCCTTTTACATACAAGCTGAATATACAAAGACTGATGTTCATTAATATCAATATCTATATAGTTATGACGACATGATTAAAGTTCTGATGGAATTATTAAGGAACGTCAATACCTCAGTCACACTACCGAGACCAACAACAGATCGAACAAACGATTGCATTACCCCCAGTGGCTATAAATCAGTCTGTTTGGAGTCGGCGTTGAGTCGGTTTGCCGTTGTGACTGAGGTATACGTGACGCGAATGACGAGATCGGAGACTCATTTGTCCCCGTTCTTCTACTCCCGAAGCATTTCTTTAACCCCTCCCCGTATCTTTACCATTTTAAACAGCACGTCAAATAAGCAAGATGATAGGAGAGAAAGAAGACTCGTCTATCGACTGGTATCTCAACTGGTACAAGACTTTTGGAGTTAAATCGATTGAGTCAAGTCCATCTCAGAACGCTGACGGTGATGTCACTTTCCCCAAGGTGTTCGGTAAGCTGTCAGGACGTTTCTGTAGTTCTACTCTACATTGTGTTTGGTCATTGTGTCTCGAATTCTATCGCGGAAGCAGCTAGGAGGAGGGGCGTTTCTATGCTTGGAAGGGGCAACTGTCATAGGAGAAGGAAAAGCATTTAACATTGCCCAGAAGGAAAACAGTCCTGATTTCGCATCATAAAACTTAGGGAAAACTGCTAAGATGGAATAAAGTGCAGAAAGCATTGTTAGGCCAACTTACCTATTGCAGAAAGGATATTTGCTTATGTCACGGATCAGGAGGGACAATATTTTCTCTTGCTAAGGGGATTCTTTTGCCGCTGGAGGGCTACGATCTAACATAGTTTTAAAATAAATAGCCGCATTTAGCTTGGCTGTGCAAGAGGGAAAACTGTAATGACGGAACAATACGCATAAAATAGATGCAGGCATGCATAATATAGGGAATCTGCTTTGTCATGTGTGTTTTTATTAAAAAACTTAGGATACAACAGATGAAGAAATTTATGATATTAGGGGCACTTAATATATTGCGGGAGGGGCATGTACAGTAGTTCTCTGGAAGGGTATCACATTTTGTTGCTGAATGGGCACTTTTCCCGGTTGTGGAATAAGTGGTGGGGGGGGGGGGGCACCAGGCAAAACCATTTCTTTTTCTATGTGCTTGTCAGAAAAAAATGCCATTGTGCCTCTCCCCTTTTTGAAAAGCCTGAATCCGCTTCTCAATAATGTTTACTGTACTCCTTTTCTTCATGGAAGGCGATGCATCGATCAGTACGTCTTTCGACATTGGGAAAACTTGGGAAGAAGGGAACTATACCAATGCTGACCTTATCCACGCGGTCCAACCACAGGCTAAAATCATCATGATCGTCAGAAATCCAACTCAAAGGTATCCCGATCTATTGAATTTTGTGCCTGAAATTAATTCGAAGTGTAGGGGCTTCCTGGAATGATACATGTTTTACATAGGAACTAGTTAAATATACTTCTCTTTTTGGTGGGGGGGGGGATTCAGTTAAAGTCTGTGGTTTATCTGTCTGTTCCGAGGCAAAGTGTCAAAGGAAAGGGAGAAACAAAGATTTTATTTGAAGTAAATGGAGACTTGCATTTGTTTTATACACAATGCACATACAATTATTGATCTGTGTAAAGCAGGTTTCAAGTCACGGTGACCGTTAATTGATTATTTAATTAAAAAATAACAATACATGGGGGACATGGGCCAGCTGGTTGTGCGTAATATAAGCAACACGAAAATTGCAACAAAAAAAGCAACATCGGCATTGGCTGAAATACGACGTAAAAGGCGTTAATTACGTTTTTTTTTAACGGTTTTTTCAAATTTTTCAAAATATCTAATATTTGTGGTGGTACACAAGTATTAGAAATCGTTATATTTCAGCCGTCTCTGAACCGATTTTGATCAAACAAAGATGATTTTGTCATTTAGATATTATGTTCTTTCAAATTTGACACTCAGTTTTTCATTATCTCACAAAAAATTATTTTGTGTAGCGCCCTCTGCAACAGAACTCAACTATCCCTTTAATTCGCATTTCATTTTTTTGCACCATCGTCCCCTCCCCATTCATGACACCAGTGGCCCCGCGATAGCTGGAGCCACGCTACGCATCTGCGTTGATATATTCATGTTATACGATGACAACTTGACATTTAGTAAGACAATAACATTGTAGCATCATACTATATAGAAACCTAATTATATCACATCAATAAATCCCCGATTTTCCTATTTTATCCTTCATCAGATTTTCTTCGCAGTTTCACTATAACGGTTTCCGAGATAGCCCCGCTGCTCTTGACCATAAAGCCAAAGAAGAAATCAGCTGCTTCACCAGCTGTCTACAAGAACACTCGGAAAGATACTGCACTTTTAGAAGGTCATGTGTAAGTTGACCACCCTACTTTATCATCTCCCGATGAGGTCACATCTTGATCGAGTTCCATTCTCTTCTAGTGGAAAGTAACAAAGTGGAGGAACCCGGATTCTCTGGTGTAGGAAGGGGAAGGGGGTGGAGGGGGTAATCACAAGTCACAAATCACACAAAAGAGAAAAGAAAAGAAAACAAAGATATTTTGTTGAGGTGTCGTGGTGAAATGGATAATGTCACCGGACTGTGGATCACATGGTTCGCTGTTCGAGTCCCCAACGTGGCACTAATTTAGATATATATTGACTGCTATGAGAGGCATCGCTGTTTCTATAAGCTCGAGGGGACGTTACATCCTGCTATGACCACGAGGCGCGCCGGGGCATTACATCCTTACTATGACCCCAACAGCCAGTATAGAAACTGCTATATGCTTCGAATATTAAAGCAGTCCATATCTTTTATACACCGAATTCACACACAAATCTACAAAAAATTCTTCCCTTATCCTTCTCTTGAGTAAACTGGTTAAAACATCGCAAAAAATCTGAGACACTGTCTGTAAATCTTCGCTGGAAAGTTGCCTGAAATTTACGATCATTCGGGAATCGCTCACATACACTGCACTGTATTTTGTATCCGCGATCGCACAATGAAACTTAAACCAATGGGGACCTAAAGTGTAGCGACCAAATCGCACAAACACTGCAGTATCCGCACTCGCACAAAGAAACTTTTTACACGTAAACCAATGGGATCTCCGCAAAATTTATTTACGCAGCCCGTTACCCGGGGCAACGGGCATCTTTTAAAAAAATATTGACCGGTAGGCGGGCATGGCTATAATCACGACTCCATTTTCGACCAATCAGTTGACTAGATTTATTCAACATATAAAGAGAGGTAATGTCCTTTAGAAAGACATTAATCTCCAGTTGCCACTCTGTATATTAAATGGGTACTCGGTGGGATGTTTGATTGTCATTGTGTGCGCTTGTAAATTGGGGTGTGGCCGAAATACTCCCCACGAAGCAGAGCGTGTGCACTATCATGTGCGGAGTAGCAATTGAATCCATTTACCAAGTAATAATAATTACCATGTAAGCGCTAAGAAACATAGTATCAAGCGCTTTACAAATGCGACTATTATTAGAATAAAAGCAAAACAAACAGAAAAAGGGTCACTGCACTTTTAGATGCTTCTTATTCCAAAAAATACCCTGACAATCATTAAGTAAAGGTGTGTCAGGACAGGATTTGCAAGGGCTATGCCCCCATGCCCCCCCCCCCCTTGATTCGCCACTTCGAGAATAATCGATGCTTTGCATTATTAACAATAACACTTTACTTGTTCTTCCGGTCACTTTGAAAAAGGCAAATCATAACTTCTTACGATGCATATAAAATGCTAAGATGAAATGAAGTTTTGTCTAATGTGTTTCTTACAATTAAGTTTGATGAGGTTGATTTTTCGAAAACAATTGCCATTTTGTAGTATTTAATTTTTTCTTCAATTGTCGAAGATATAGAATGCAGAAAAAACTTTGCTCCAGACAAAGCCTAATGTTTTCCATTTTATTTGTTTGAAAACTTTTTTTTTTCCTACTTCAAACTAGGTATTCAACTGTTGACATCATTCTTTCATTTTATCCATGCTTATGGTTTACAGCGTATGTTGAACGCTATTTACATAGCAATCGCGAAAGACTGGATGAGAGTATATGGCCGTGATGGAGTCTATATCTTAACATTAGAGGACTGGTATGGAAATACCGGAAAAGAATTTGAGAAACTCCTAAAATTCTTAGAACTTCGTAAGTATACACATTTCGGTTTTTGTTTTGTTTGTATTGTTTTGTTAAAGGGGGTGTCGCATAACGAGGCTATACGTGTTTTTCTCATGGCCTGACTCGGGGCCAATCAGGTCGGAAGACGCGACCGCAGTATTAACGTGCGTGCAACATAATTTATGTGAAACCGAAGCGTAATGAGAATTTCGGTGTGTTTCGCGAACGGTAGCGCGCGCTAACCGTTAATCAAGGCCATTCGTCAGTTACGTGCAGTTGTCCAAAAGAAGTCGTAGATGGCGCTAACCAGTATTTGCCATGCTACATTCCCTTTAAGCTGTTTGTCTTTTGTTTTGTTGTTGTTGCTGTTGCTTTGTCTTGGTCAGAGGCGGATCTAGGGGGCCCGCGGGCTCCCACCCCTGGCCAAAAAACAGTTAGATTTAACCTTTTTCAAGTAAAAAAAAGAAGACGGACCCCTCCCCCTGGCGCAAGGGAGGTGGTGTTGATTCGGCGCTAAATATTTTCTCACGAATTAGGAAGAAAACAAAAATTAGTGCTCCTTACCCCTCCACCCTCCCCCCCCCCCCCTCGCTTTTTCGCCGGCTGGCTGACTCACCGCTCAACACTTTCTCACGAATTGGGCCCCCTATTTGGCCCCCTCCCTATGCTGTATCCGCCCCTAGTCTTGGTCGCCGCGTAATGTAACTGTTTGCCTATCCCAATCAACTTGTATTCAACAACGCTTAATTGATTCACAGAACTCAAAATAAAAGGAAAGATTCACTCTCAGTCACATACAGAAATCAAAAGACATGATAAATGTCGATCGTGACAAATTCTATTAGCAAGTAGCATATTTAGAAATTTCGATATGATTGCACGTTTTCGAGAATGATAACGATATCAATTGCAATCCAAATCTATATACAAAGTTACAAACATATCAATTTCCGGAATAATTGCTCGAGAAACTAAATTGCATGTGATAATGAGGAAGATAAAGGAGACGATGAAAAGGACAGCTATAAGATCTATAAAGTAATAATTCTTTTCGACGATAATGGTGACGTGTTATGTGCATTGCACATGTGACGTCAATTACCTGACGTATACGAATGCGTCAGCGACTGGCATGGTCTATGGCGTACCATGTGTGAGATTGTACAAAAGTAAACATAAATTGACGTGAATACGAAATGATGTCTGCTGTGCAACGGGTATCATAAGCAACGCATACATCTGCTTGATAGGTATACTACCTTGCAGGGGCGGCCGAGCGACTTCCAAAGTGGGGGGGGGGGGGGCACCAAGAAAAAAGGGCACCTACAAAAGGTAAAGCGAAAATATACAATCCTCTAGACATTGGTATATCCCCCTACATTGTGATTACATTATAAGGGATGATTTCAATATTTTTTCATTTTATAGCTTTGCAGTTGGGTGTGATGGTCCGAAAATTTATTTACGAGCGAGCGAAGCGAGCAAGGAAAATTTTAATTATTTGTGAGATCGCAGCGCAAAAAATTACATCTTATAAAGAGGAAAAAACCAATCATGATGGGGTTATAAGCACATTCTCATAACGGAAGACTGAACAGACCTTTGATAAGTAACATAAGTATATCATCTATAGATGCGTGCGAGCGTAGCGAGCAAGCTTTGGGAGAAAGCGCTCTTAGTCGCATGAAATTTGGGGCGTGTTTAATAATGAGAGGAAAAGGGGACACTTATGTTAAAGGAAAATGTGCATTAGTTGAAAGAAAATAGGCACCGAGCAGATTTTAAGGGGGCACTTATCTGAAATGAAAAGGAGTAACTTCTCGAACCTGAAAAGAGTCATTTACCAGATAAGAGAAGGGGCACTTATGAGAAGCGAAAGGGGCTCTTTTTTAATGGGGCACTTATCATTAGGAACAGGGGCACTTATTAGAAAAGAAAATGTGCATTAGTTGAAAGAAAATGGGCACCGAGTAGATTTTAAAGGGGCATTTATCGGAGGTTAAGGGGGCACTTGTCTGAAATGAAAAAGGGGTAGCTTCTCTTACCTGAAAAAGGTTCATTTACCAGAGAAGGGGCACTTATGAGAAGGGGAAGGGGCTCTTCTTTTAATGTGGCACTTATTATTAGGAAAAGGGGCACTTATTAGAAAGAAAAAGGGGCATTAGTTGAAAAAATGGGCACCAATCAGATTTTAAAGGGGCATTTATCGGAGGTTATGGGGTGAAAAGGAGTAATTTCTCGTACCTGAAAAGGTTCATTTACCAGAGAAGGGGCACTTATGAGAAGGGAAAAGGGGTACATGCGAAAATTTAAGGTGCGCTTATCCGAGTTAAAATGGGGTAGTTATTAAATGGGGAAGGGGCACTTATTACAGAGGAAAGGGGGCACTTGTCAAAGTAAAAGAGGCACCTCTCGGATTTGAATAGGGCAATTACCAGAGGTGAAGGGGGCACTAATCAAAAGCAAAAAGAGGCACTTCTCGTACTTGAAAAGGGGCACTTTCTAGAGATTAATGAAGGGCACTTATGATAATGGCAAATGGACACTTATTGCAAAGGAAAAATGGAAATGTCGAAGGAAAAGGGGCACGTGTCCAAATGAAAGGGGCACTTATCAGAGTTGAAAAGGGGAAGGGGCACTTTTACAAATTAATAGGGGCACCATTCCTATGTAAAAAAAGGACACTTTTTACCAAGCTTTTCGGGTGTGTGAAAAAGCGGAGGGGGGGGGGGGCACTGAGCCCCCCCCCACCCGGAGGGCAACCTCTGCTACCTTGATCATTTTGTTTTTTAAATAAATTGTTGATCTCGTCTTCTCTCGCAGCTGCTCTTCCAAAAGATGAAATCTCGCGAATAACCAGAAGAAAGCCAAAGAACGTGAATGCCAGGAATGCCCGAAGTTCCATGTGGAACACAACTCGCGATCTCTTACAAGATTTCTTCAGGCCATTTAACAAACGATTTGCCAGCTTCATGAATGATACGAGGTTCCTGTATGATGAGGGATGACCAGGCGCGTACACAGGGGGGGGGGGGGGGGGGGGGGGGGGGACTAAACCCCCCCCCCTTTGGTAATTTTGTGTGTGTAAACCCCCCCTAAATTTCCCTAAAAACCCCCCCCCCCCCCAACGGAGCAAAATGTCAAATTTTCAAATTTCGATACCAAATTTCGATACCAAAAAAAAAAAAAAAGTGTCCTCTTATACAAATAATGTACTATGTATGGCACATGTAAACAAGTAGGGCCTATTACGCATCATGTTTTGAAATACTATCAAATATTCATATGATAATACGGAATAAGAAATAAATGTAAATGAAATAGGTAATAGTACTCTACTCGTAGACGGAGTTGAGATGTAAAATTTATATAGTGTTGCTTTCAAGTTATTGTAAGCATAACAGTTTGCTTATACTAGTTGTTTATGTGAAGATTATGTTCAAATATCCAACAGTTAAATTAAATAGGAATGTGCTTGATGTTCAAAAAGTATAAATCTTCAAACTTGTAAAAAAACTAATTATATAAATGAATTCCGATTCTGTTCAAGCCTTGCATGTTTGTTGATGAAATGTGTTTCTAGGAGGTGATCTATTTAGAATTCCATTGAATGTTTTAATTTTCTTGTAATGATGTCATAAATAGATAATTAGCTCCGAAACAATTGCAAACAAAATAAATTAAATCATGAGATCATTAAAAAAAAGAACATCTGTGGGGGAAAAAAAAATCAGCTTTCTAGTGTGAATGGTATTCGGTAGACTGAGTAGAGCCTAAGATTTGAAAATATTGGCTAATTTGCATAAGTTAATGCTAATAAGCGTTTTATGGTGACAATTTTTACAATCATAATCGTCCTTGATATATAACCTGTCCATTCATATATGGTTTTGTATGGTTATTTTTGCAACTTCCTTTGGAAATTTGTCAAAATATAAGTATACTACCAGTTCCCTGTAACCCCCCCCCCCCCTCTTAAACAGTTTATGTTTTACAAATAGTGTACTATGTATGTCACATGTAAACAAGTATTACGCATCATGTTTTGAAATACGATCAAATATCCATATGATTATATGTAATAAGAAACAAATGTAAATAAAATAGGTAACAGTACTCTGAGGGAAAATTTATCTGATATTGTTGCAGTTTCTTTACATATGTTACCGGTAGTTGTTTATGTGAAGATTATGTTCAAATATCCAACAGTTAATTTAAATAGGAAAGTGCATGGTGTTCAAAGAGTAGAAAAGTAGCTCCAAGCTGATGAAGGGTACAAATAAATGAACTCAATTCCAAACTCATTTCGGTAATTAAAGGCATCGTTTAAAAACGTTGAATCTGAGATGCACGGTCCTATCAGTGTCAGTGATATGGTGTAATATTGAAGCCCTAACAAAAAATTGCGCTTCAAAATGATCAAGAAGTGCCTCAAAAAAATAAAAAATCTTTGAGTGACCGATTTTACCATACTCGTTTTCCCCAATAGACTACAAATATGGCTGTTTTTTTTATACAAATAATGTACTATGTATGGCACATGTAAACAAGTAGGGCCTATTACGCATCATGTTTTGAAATACGATCAAATATTCATATGATAATACGGAATAAGAAATAAATGTAAATGAAATAGGTAATAGTACTCTACTCGTAGACGGAGTTGAGATGTAAAACTTATATATTGTTGCTTTCAAGTTATTGTAAGCATAACAGTTTGCTTATACTAGTTGTTTATGTGAAGATTATGTTCAAATATCCAACAGTTAAATTAAATAGGAATGTGCTTGATGTTCAAAAAGTATAAATCTGCAAACTTGTAAAAAAACTAATTATATAAATGAATTCCGACATGCCAAAGTTGAGATGTTATATAACCAAAGATATATTGATACACAACTACAAACCAAAGTCAGATATCAGTTCGTAATTAAAATATATATTTCTGACTGGGGGAGGACCGTTTAGTTATTGAGTTATTAAAGCTTATCTGTACTAGTTAATAGGAGAGATTAGACGACCCTGCAAGGTCACTGGACAGGTCATCTCATCAACTCAGGTCTCAATTCACATAAGAAAAAGAGGATCATGGGGGACCCATGGTCACCGATTAGGCATTGTTTTCTATATAGAGGGAGCAAGTAGCTATAAGTAGTACAGTGTGGCTTTAAGAACGCACCGCGACCGAGGTGACAGTGTAGTCCTCCCGGGGAAGGGGACATTTTGTATTTTGTCCTATCTGAATATCAAGTTTTAGTTGCATTTTAGGTTCAATTTTGAAGACCAAATATGTTCCTATCATACTTGACATGGGTCGACTTTGCCCCGGCCATCGCAGGGGCGCCGGAGCGTATTTCCAAGTGTGTTTTTCTCTCTTTGGGGGGGGGGGGGGGGGGGGGGGCCGGCCGGGGGCTCCAACAAAAAGGTGCTTTGGAATAACTTTTAATTATAATTATATATATATATTATTATTTATATATATATATATATATGAAAGGGGGCACCTACGAAGGGTAACCTCAAAACGGAGTTTTTCTTCAAAATTTCATTTTACATACGTCAGTATTTTTTCAGTTCTGTGCTCCGACCCTATCATAGAGAGTTTTATTAGATGTGCAGCGCCATCACGTGTATTTTTTTTTGGGGGGGGGGGTAGACTGTAGTTGGCAAAAAATCGGACTAGAAAATCTCCAGCTATTATCTTTCTACACAGTCCTTCTTCATACGTGAACATTTTATAATAATGTGTAATTTCACATCTAAGGTCTTTTTGCACTGAACTAAACTGATTCTACGGGTTATTTTCACATCGTCATTTAATAATTACATTTCAAAGGCATCACAAAAACTGACAAACCCAACCACCAAAATATTATTTAAAACAAAATGTTAGATAGGCCTGTAAAGTTACAGGTGAAAATGAAAGTGGACTGTGATATTCAATATTAATATGAAAAGAAAATATTAAATGATCTTGGTAAAAGGTTTCTACAACTGTGTCGTTGGAACCAATACAATCCTCGAAGGGATGGGTAATCAACTCTGGTAGGCAAATTAGGGAGGTGTCTTTCTAGGCAAACTATAAACATGTAGACTACATGTACTCTAGTCATAAGTATCAATTATCGTCTAGTTTTCAGATCAATGACAATCAATTTCACGACAAATCCTATCTCCAAATGTGTAAACTGAATGGTTTAAAACACGAGTAACGTAAAAAGGGATTATATTTTATTATTTTAATATTTTGTTGAATACATTGGTACAAACTTTCGTAGTATTGTATATTAACACTACAAAAAATAATGGGATACTTTTGTTCAAATAACTATCAAATGAAAATATCCTGGGAAACCCATCTAAAAAAAAAAAGTTCACCCGTCATGAAATGAAATACTCACAATCGTATTTTACAAGTAATTTTTTGGTATCTCAACTGTTTTGTCCCCTGTCGCTATCTTAAATCTATATTTTATTTCCTAATTCATTAAATAATTGGGAGGGAGGGGGGGGGGGGGGTAAGAGCACACTTTTTTTCTTCTTTTTTTGGTCTCGAAATTTGAAAATCTGACATTTTTCTTCGTTGGGGGGGGGGGGAGGGGGGAGGTAACCTTTTTTGGGTCAGCCATGGGCATAATTATTATTTTTTTTTATTACAAAAAAAACAAAACAAACGGGGGTTTTTAGGGGGGTTTTCCTCAAAAAATACACACATAAAAATACCAAGGGGGGTTTCAATCCCCCCCCCCCCTGCGTACGCGCCTGGTTGAGACTAGGGAAATGCAAATTAAATTATTATCAGCACATTATTAACCAACATGAAGATGGATTATGTATCAATTGAAAGGTTTAAAAAACTATACATTATTTTTACTGCAATGCAAGAAATATGAAAGATATAAAGTTAAGGATCATGCAAAGACGATTGAAATGTGATACATTAGATTCAGAGTGAAATTGTTAGGGAATTTATCGGATTTTAGAGTCCCTTCAAACAGATTTGAAATGTTATAAATCTAGTGCGTTTTCCTCTGTGAGTATATGATTATGATTGAAATGTTTGAATATCATCAGTATTTAACTCATAGAGATGACATCCTTATATGATTAAAATGCACTATTAGCTATACTTTATCTTGCCCAGTAGCACTTCACTGAGACAGGTTAAAGGTAATACAAAGTTTTGGTATGGGGTCATGAATTTGGTTCAAATGAACATATTGGAAGCATATGCGACCCTACAGTATTCAGTGATCGTTGTCACGTTTGAAATCGATTCTAAAGTTATGAAATTATAAATAATAAACTCTTTATCAAAGAGATTCGATCATACACAGTATGTCCTCCGTAGGAGGACTAGAGGGCCAACTAAAATCGTGACCTTTGACATTCCATAGGTTTTGCATTGGATGCATTATGGGGGTTTTGTCCGATTTGAACGACGGTTTTGGAGGGTCAATGAATATTCATGAGCAATGACGTAAAAATACGCCAACTACTGTTTGTTGATTGGTCATCGACAAAATGTTTTATGTATTAGGTCATGCATAAAACATATTTTGCATTCCCAGAATTCCCTACGATTTGAGCACGAAAATGGCGGTTGTATGAACTGCAACTTTCAAGTTATTCAATTACGAACAATGAAACATTTTTCTTTTAAGTGAATTTCTATTGTAATAGAAGTTTGTGAAGTACATCTCAGTGAAGCAGAAAATCTTCAGGCGAACATTGACATCGAAGTGATACCCTATGATATCAAGAAAAGTAAGTAAAGATCCATTTTGTGTAAAGGTCTCTGAAATGATTGTGATGTGTTCGTCATTGCAGTGAGGGGCTCTCCGCATTGTCACAACGTATTACCCGGTTAACCCCCTACCCCATCCTCTTTTCTTTCTTCTGACCAAAGAATGAATGAACTCTAATATAAGTCATCGACGGTAATATTTTTAGAAACAATCAGGATTTTACCGTAGGTTATTTCATTAAAGCACATCTCATAATTTTAAGTTCAGTTCATAGCTTGATTACCGATAGTAATCGGTCGTAGATGTGGACCTGTTGTAGACTGCGCAAATGGCTCATTGCTAGTCCAAGCCGACGAGATCTCGTCGAGCGGTTTATGATTTTTAATTCGCCGGTGCTAGCCGGCTGTAACACTCCACCAAGAAGCGACTGCGTTTCCTGAGCTGGCGCGGCTATAACTTTACAGTGTGTTACTGTAGCCTAGGCTAGTATACATAGCATAGTCTAGCCTGAATTTTCTGTCTCTTTCGTTCGTTAGCCTCTGATTTGGGTAGGTCGATCGGCTCCTCTCTTTAGGCTTTTAATAGCCGACCCTTCCCAAATCAGAGGCTAACGAACGAAAGAGACAGACGGGCTAAGGCTAAGCAGAGCCTACTGCCTAGGCTATACCTCTAGACTATAATAATAATATAGGCTAGGTCTAGTCTAGATCTAGCACTTAAGTATAAACAGGCCTATAGCCATAGGCCTAGATCTAGGGCTAGATTCTAGGCCTAGGCCTAAATGCATTCTAATAAAAAAAGACAAAATAAATGCCTGGTTTAGGTGGGTCAATGTGGAAGTAATGGGGGGGGGGGGGGTGCACAATCATTCTGTGCCCCCTTATTCAGATGTGGAATTGGGACAGGTCTAGATCTAGGTCTAGAGCCCCCTATGGTCTACTAATAATATTAAAAATAGGCAATTAGATCTAGATCTATAGCTTGTGTTATGCCATAGCCTAGCAAAGACTTCCATAGCCATGGGTCTAGGCTCGTTTTTGCTCCACTAGTAGTAGACCTACGGTACTAGTGTTGACAAACTATGGTGTTTATTCTCTCAGCATATTAAAGACATACTCAAAGGCATTTTTCCCTAAATATTACATTATATCTAACAAACTTTTGTTCACAAAAGTCTAGCAAATAATAACTTAAAATAAATTGGAAATTACTTTTAAAATAATTGGAAATACATCTAAACCTTTACTCTTCTCTTTAAAAAAGGCCCTATCAGATGGACATAAGTTTATAATTTTTTAAATAAAATAATAGGCAAGACCTAAAAAAAGTGGGGAGGTACTATTTTTGAAAATCCAATATAATAAAATTATGCAGCAGTTTTAGTCTTATTTGATTTCTCCTCTCTTTTTGTTTTTATTATTCAGGTTGTCCCATGCAGAAGGTTTGATACCCAGGCTTCTTTTGTACAAGTCCCTAGTCCACCCTCATCTTGAGAACTGTTCCGGTGTCTGGGATCCCTACAACATCTCAGATGTCCAGGACGCTACTTCACAATGGGGACCACAAGAGAAGCAGCAGTTTGACTGAGATGATCAGCACCTTTTAGTTGCCTACTATACAAGATCCAAAACGACACAGTAGCCATCGATGCACACCATTACACAGCCCCCATGATTGCCAGCAACACACGACAGTATCACTCAAAGAAGTTGCTGGCTGTCCCATCCCGCACCCAGCTCTACCAGAACTCATTTTTCCCTCGGACAGTAACTGCGTGGAATGCACTTTCAAAGATCACCCTTGACGCTACTTCACTGGAGGGCTTCAAGGGAGCGCTTCCACCAAGCATCTAGACCAAGAACTAGATAGTTTATTCCTCAGCACTACATCCTGACTTATGGATCCTGCTGAGTATCGTCGTAGAAGTAGAAGTAGAAGTATATCTACAACTACAAGGCACTCTGCAAGAAGACTGGGAATGGTGCACAAGATAGTCAATGGTCTCTCCGCTCTCCCTTGAAAATTTTCCCACTGCACTACTTATAGCTACTTGCGCCCTATTATAGCAAACAATGCCTAATCTGTGCCTGTTGGTCCCCCATGATCCTCTTTTTCTTATATTAATTGAGAGCTGATTTGATGAGATAACCACCTGTCAGTGACCTTGCAGGGTGGTCTTATCCCCCTGGCCAAACTAGTACAGACGGGCTTTAACAAATCACGAGCAGGAAGTACCATGACATGACCCTCCAGTTGCACCAAGCCAGAAGCGACATAGGTAGACAAGTTTGTATTTGCCCAACACTCTGTCCCAATGGAACTGACTTCCAGCAAATATAGTGCATGCTGACAGTCCAGAGAACTGCCAGGGACTACTTCTGAGGCATATACTCTCCTTATCCCACTTAGAAACAATCTGTCTTCCTCACACCACTTGTAATCGTAATCTTTAGTATTAGTTCATCTTCGTGATAGGCTACAACGCCTTTTGAAGATTACCAGAAGAAGAAGAAGAAGAAGATATATTGAGGATCATGAAAGTAATCATTTGTTCTTTTAAATGCGTGTACATGTAACATAGTTTTTTGATATTTAATCTTAAGTCAAGTTCTGACAAAAATATGAGGGATGCTGAACTGGATAGTAAATTGAAGGGGGGGGGGAATAAAATGATGTAGTTCAATAGTAATTAAGACTGTATTAATATAATTAATATTAATAATAATAACAATATTAAAAATAGTAACAATAATGACAAGATCATGATAATAGCAGTAATAATAATGATAATACAGGTAGTAGTAAAAACAACAACAATAATGTCCAATGTAAGATAAAGTACTCATAAAACTCAGTATATACCTGTGCTTTACATAATAAAATAGCATGTTGATATTATTGAATATTTTTTTCTTCAAAATCTACAGTAAATTTTTACAACTGACAGATTTGAATTCAAGAGACAGCACCCCCCCCCCTCCCCCTATCCATTTGTCATCCTTTTGTTGATGTCATGTTGGATTTAAAAAGACTTTATAGAAACAAAATATGTTGATAAATGAGTTCATAAATGTAATAAATCAGTTAATACTGCTCAATTCTGTTCTTTTCATTTTCTTATTTTATGAAATATATGTGATGATGCTGGTGATTATGATGATGTAGGCACTCTGTAATGATAATGCTGTATGACTGAGGTGAGATGGGGCTGATGCAGTCTTGTGTAGAATTGAGTATGGTGTTCAACCTTTTGATGTTTGTTTATATCTGGCATCAGCGAGATAGGTTTAAACCATCTTTCCTAATGAGAGAGAAAGCAGAATGTAACAAGAGAGTGGGCAAGACTAATGTAATGTATAAACGCAGTATAAAAAATGGTTTACAATAAAGATGAGGGGGGGGGGGGGTTAAATAAAGAATAAGTCGATGCCGAAATGATGAAAGCATAGGTAATTGGGGTAATAGAGCCTATGGAAATGTCACTATTAGAAGGGGTCCCTGTATTGAAAATGTTACTGTTGGGGGGGGGGGGGGATTTTAAAAAAATCAGTGGCGACGAATGCAAGAATAAAAAGAACGAGACAAAATTGAAATTTCATTGGGGATGGGGCACAATATGAAGATCATTGAAGTCGAGGTGAGAATGATTCATTAATTGGACACTAAAAATATGAAAATAGCACTTGTTAAGTGGGCTAAATGATCAGTGCAATTTGTCTGATTTAAAAAATATTAAAGTTAATAAACGAACAACAAAAAAAGAGGTAAAAAATGAATTGAGTGAAATGGGGTCATTATTTTTGCCTTTTAACTGAACTGATTTTTTTTAAAATGTACTTTCCATCCTGGTGACAGTGAAGTTTGTGGCCCCAACTAAGTCAACCATTTAAAAGTCTCTCCCCCCCCCCCCCCCCCCCCCCCCCCCCCTCCGCACACACCTCTCCAACTCTGACCTTTGTTCTACATTTATCCGGCCTAATTAGGATTCTGTCGATATAGTAACGCATGCGCATTGTCTTTTTTTCATTGCGATAATATGCTAATAAGTGGAAAAGAGCTCATGAATATTCCAAATTTTAATTTAAATATTTTGCGCGCTGCGCGCAGTCCAAAATCCCCATTTCGCTGGTGCACTAAAAATTTGTTGTCTTCATAGGCTAATACACGATAAGTGGAAGCAGTGTGCACTTTTGACCCTCCAAAATCTCCCCATGGCTAGACGGATGCAGAAGCGGAGTTGCACCCCCCTGCTCTTTATGTTGTATAGCTCCCTCTCAAGGTCAAGATATTAATTAAGCTATAAAACAATGTTTCTTGACTAAAATCGACCGATAAGCTATTCCTGTTTGGAAATTATATATCACAACTACATATTCTGAAATTTTCATGGTCGCAGTTACCATTGTACGGCTGTACGGCGCTATTTGAAATTTATCAAAATTTACCGGGAGCACCGGTAAATTTTTATATTCAATTTTTCTCGAAAGCAGAAGTGTTTTAGGGGCTAAATTTTCTAGTGCTTATATTACATCTACAGGGGCATCCAAATATATCAAAATTGAAAAGAATCACCACTATCTAATTTTCAAAAATTCCCAAAACTTTGTATTACCTTTAACCAACTCTGAACTCGCAAACAGGAGTCTGGAAAGACAGACCCCCCTCAAAAACAAAAACAAAAAATCATTTAAAGTGAGCCATAAGATCAAAAGTTTGAAAAGATAAACATCAAAGATTGAAGAGCGCCATCTAAACGCCAACGCCAACAACTTCGTGTACATGTATATCCTCTGATCTGAGCCAAATCTGCTATATCTCAAAGACAGCAGGATGTTTCGATTCTTTGCTAACAGTTTGATGAATAGATAAACGTAAGTACAAATAAAATTTAGACTAATGAAAATATGAAAACAAATATATCTGTGCCATGCGAATTGATGAAGAGCCGACTTCCGAACCACTCGGGTCTCAGCCAGGCTCGGGTTTTCTCAGCTCCGTTCATTCGGAGCGCTACCCTTTTTCTTCCCCTTCCTGTCCGGGTGGTTCGGTGCAAGCACCGGCAAGTGAAGCTCGGAGCTGTGGTTTTATTGAGGCGTTTGCATTATTAATTCATACTACATGTAGAGGGAAGCGAAAAAATAGTCACTGATGCATTGAGAGATTTCTTGCTCTTGCTAGTCAAAGTCAACTTTTAAACACTGAAATATGTTTATTAGATTACAATATCTGTCATTCTGTCATTGTCAATGAAGCTGAGTGAGACGGTTGATTGAGAAGTGAGAGAAAAGTGGGATGAAACTGAGACTGAGTGAGAGTGAGAGGAGAGCCAGAGCCTTTTAGAGGAAAACGAGGGAAGTGTGGAGCTGGAGTTGAAGTTGAAGTCAAATTATCTGATTCTGAGACAGTTGTTGTCGTTGGTGGGCTTCAGGCTGTTTAATCTGAAAAGAGAGAGAGAGAGAGAGAGAGACAGTAGGCTATTGTCAGAGTTCAAACTTCAAGTTGTCAACTCTGAAGAAATAATACAGTATTGTCTCTAGTCACTCTCTACAATTTTTTACACATGGATAAGACTTTTGTTTTTCAGGATATACAAGGTCATTTTTTCGACATTTACTGTTTCTAAAGGTAAAAAATTAAAAATTAAATTAGGCCTATTTGTACAGTAAAAGTATGTTTGTGTGTCTGGCAGTTACAGAGAAAATGTTTGATTTCATATATAAAATAGGTGTTGAAATTTAAAAGTTGAAATTATGGTGTAGTAAAAAAGATACCAGAACATGGAATATTAATCAAATCCAGACTCTTATGGTTGTGCGATTGCATTGTGAAAGAAACGTTGTGCGATTGCATTGTGAAAGAAACGTTGTGGAATCGATCAGAAAAGGTTGATCATCTAGCATATAAGTATCAGTGTGTACTGCAAGGTCATCAAAATGATAAGAAAGATGTATATGGGACTACGCACACGTGCGCAACACATGCGTTTATCTCTCACAGTCCAAAAGAAAAACTAATTTACCAAATATATCATTTAGTAGGCGGTTTCCTGGCAAAATGTTTATCATCATGTGTTAGTCAAAACATATTCTTTCACATGATTGGTAATAAAGAGCTTCCATTTCATTTTTTGAAATTGGGGCGTTTCCAATACTGGTCTTTACCTTTAAAGCACATTTTAAAGATAGAGGTGAGTTCTGGTCATCTGGTTGCATAGTGAAAGAAAAGGTGTAGAATGGATCAGGAAAAAGTTGATCATGTAGCATGTGAGTATTGGTGTGTACTGCAAAGTTCTGGAATCATCAAAATCATAATAAATTTGGCCCAGTCTTGGTAAAGTAACAAGCACTTTACACAGAGAGATGTATATGGGACTACACAAATGGTGTTGGGGCTACTAACCTTGATTTCGTAATCTTTCTATGCTCATTACTCAGCCAGTATACATTTTCTACCAAAATTGTTTGGCAAATGACATTTATTTGTAATCTTGAACATTCAGTGTAAGTTTCGTTTGATTCTGTGAGAATTAGTTTTTTTTTTTTTTTTCTTACCAGAACTCACCTTTAACAGCTTGTTATGTGTACAAATAATTGACCTACATGTACAATCAGTAGACGACAGTACATGTAGGGACCTGCATATTTGGATATTATTGTGACAAATCACTTTTAAAAGGCATTGTTTATTAATCTTTCCAGTTTTACAAATCTGAGATGCACGGCCCTGTCTGGTTATCAGTGTCTGTGATATTGAACTTGAAGCCCTAAAATTGTGCTTCATAATGATCATGAAGTGCTTCAAAAAAGTAAAAATCTTTGAGTGACTGGTTTTTACCATACTCACTTTCCACAATAGACTGTAGTGTTATAAAAAAACCGCTGGGGAAACGGTTTTCGAAATTTTGAATTCCAATCATAGACAGTGGCGGATCCAGGGGGGGGGGCCCCGGGGGGCCCGGGCCCCCCCCCCCCTTGAGAAAAAAATCATGTAAAATCACGTGATTTTTACGATTTTTGGGGGTTGGGCCCCCCCCCTGGCGCTCAAGGGGGGGGTGCAAATTGAATTTTTTTTGAAGATCAAAAAAAAAAATGTGCTCACTACCCCCCCCCCCCCACTGAGCGAATTTTTGGCCGGCGCGTTTTTCAAATTTTCGGGAGCAAAAAAAAAAAAAAAAAAAAAAAAAAAAAAATTGTGCTCTGTACCACCCCCCCCCCCCCCCCCCCCACTGAGCGACTTTTCGGCCGGCGCGATTTTCAAATTTTCAGGAGCAAGAAAAAATAAAAGTTGGGCCCCCTCCCCTAAGAAATCCTGGATCCGCGCCTGATCATAGATATCTTGATAATCAAACATGTGATCGGCTTGTAAAAGTCATGGGATTCCTGACTAACCTAAACAAAAATATAATTATGATTGCAGCATGAGCTAAATCCAGGATTGTGTTTAGAATCTGAGGCATAGATACACAATCCATTTAAGAATTTGATAGTTTACATACACAAATCAAACCACTAAGGAAGAATTTGTATTGATGCTCTTGAATGCCCAATCACTTTTTCCTCATCTGTAAACCCACGCAGACATTCTTGAGATTGCATGATGTGTTTCTGCATTATCTCTTTTTCCCTACAAATTCATTCTCCTCCACATTCTTTCTCAAATTCAGTAGCCCTGTCTTCATCCGCTCGAGTTTGCCAAATAACCCCGCTATTTTCAGACTCGAAATATATATTATCTCAAAGCTCGAAATTGCGTCTTCACCGGAACGATACGCTCATCACAAACTAGCGCGGTCAGGTGCAAATAAGCCAGCTTTTCCCCAAATAGCAGGAGATTTCTCTGGTTATCTTCTCGACAAAATATCCCGCTAATTGCAACTGCGGGCCGATGAGGACAGGCCTACTACAGTAATGTAAAACTCCAAGCCAAACAGGTTGACCTAAGGTTTCTGGTTACCATGGTAAATGATCAGAATTCTTATTCCCACTAGACATGCATATGGTCTTTATTATCAGACTTTATTCTTAGTTTGGTTTCTTGCTGAGAATTTAGATCTGTATTGAGTTGAAAATTGAGCTTAAACTCTCGTTTTTTATTAACGTTTATCTGCATCCATGTACGTGTACCACAAAAGATGTTTTATGTAGAAAAATTTAAAGGATGAGATAAAGAGGCAAAATAATATACATGTACCTGCTTTTCATCCAGTGTCCCAACTGAAATTGAGTGTTATGCAATGGTAAACCATGGTAGAAGAAAGTAATGCTACAGCAAGTACTGGTATTGGGAAAACAAGTAAACTACCACTTGTGTATGAAGTTAAATTCACTTAATACAGTAAAGGCATCATTTAACAATGCTTAATCTGAGATGCACGGCCCTACGTGTTATCAGTGTCTGTGATATGATGTAATATTGAAACCTTAAATAAATTGCGCTTCAAAATGATCAAGAAGTGCCTCAAAAAAGTAACAATCTTTGAGTGACCGGTTTACCATACCGGTACTCGTTTTCACCAATAGGCTGTAGTGTTATGAAAACTGTTAGGAAAACGCAAAATTTGATTTTGATTTCCAATCATAAATATCTTTATAATCAGACATGCAATCGGCTTTCATAATTTTCAATTTCTGTCGGTATTTGGATAGTGCTTTGGGATATCTACATGTATACGTCTGTGTTTGAAGCCTAGCTCCTGTAAGCCGACTTGCATTGACCCCATGCTGTTATCAGCAGAGGTCATTCTGATTTTTGAGCTGGTATTTCATTATGATTCGCTGACTTTTGGTCCCTTTATTTTCATGTCTGTATCATGAGAAGTGTTTACATTACAGTTCAAATTGAAGTTGCTCTGTAAATATGTGGATATCATAAATATAATAACAAGTCAGCCTTCTTTTTGAATTACTTGAGAGATCCATTCGGTCAAACCCTACTACGTATATAGCCTACCAGTAGGCCTATTTGTACAAATATGTAGGCTTAGGCCCCAAAAAACAAAAACATGTTTAGCATCCTGCCTTTTTGAAAAATAGGAAGGAGGACAGGAGGTCCTTTTATTCTTTTCTTTTTTCAAAATGGCTGCTCGGTAGATTTTCCCTGACAGTCCGGCAATTTTTCAGAAATATATCCATTTAAGCAGCGATTTCATGTTTTTTTTCTTTAAAATTTATTTTTTTATTTTTTTATTTATTTATTTATTTTAAAAAGATAAGAAAAAAGAAGGAGGTGGCCCCCCAAAAGGAAGCGGGCGGGGACGCTAAACATGTATATATTTTTGTCACCATAGTTGTCAGATAGATGGGACCATGGACTTATAACTAGTACAAGTGAAATCAGTGATGGGACTGTGTTTTCAGGTCTGGACTGTATTTTCTCTGACACGGTGCACCTGCATGCCTTGTTTGTGCCTGGCTGGGAGGTTCATATTTCATCTTTGACGTAGAGCTGAAGTGCAGCCAGATAGTGAGAACTGTGGGAAAGAATCTACCTGGCCTCGGCCTAGGCCTGCCTGCCTGGCTCACCATAGGCCTGTCATCATCAGCTCGAGATTGCCAAATTCTCGAGATTGCCTATAAATAGCCCGCTATTTCTGATTTTGGAAATGATCCCAAAGTTACAAATCACGTCTTCATCAGCTCGAGATTTGACCTTGAAACTCGAGCTTGAGAAATTAGCTCGAGATATTTTGTTCAGCGTTTCAAATAGTGCGTGTCTTCGGGCTGGTGAAGACGCACCGGACAAATAGCGGATTATTTTGCAAACTAGCTCAAGATATCTTGGGATGATTATCTCGACCAAATATCTCGCTATTTGCAACTTCGGGCTGATGAAGACGCAAATTAACTGGATAATTTGCGATTGGGATAGTTCA